AAGAGAAGCAATAAAGAAACTGGTAGCCAACCGAAACACAATCCCCGTTTACAATTGCAATACTTACATGATCAAATTATATCGGACCATCAGAATCCTAGCTGAATGGACATATTCAAAATTTCAGTATTGTTTCTAATGTGTCACACGAGTATAAGAATTGAGAGTGTAAGAATTATCAAAAGTAACAACAAATTGACAAATCGAATCTTATTCTCAATCTCTATGAACTATAGTCAGTAATCTAGTTGAATTCTGCACTTTTCAAATCAAGGTTTTCGTGTCTATTGTTTCTCTTTCTTTGCATAAAATAATTGAAACCTATAACTTCTTCCAGATGACCTTAGATCCTTACCTGATAATTACGACTAATGTTGCGATTTGAAGTGCAAGAATGTGACTACAGCAGTTCATTTTTGAATACTCCTGACAGGTAGGATGAAACATTACCCAGGATTGAATTCCTCTTCTGGTATTTGCTGTCTACATTTGTTTTCATGCTTTGAGAATTGGTAGATTTTGTTTTCTTCAAAGACTTGGGTATTTGACTATCAACATGTATCTGTATTTATTGTCTAGTACAAGCAAAACCTGATTTTGCTGTTACACCTAAAATTTGTTATCGTGCTCTTATTCAAACTTAAGTCATTGTTTATTATTAGTTTTAAACTATGATATCAATGGCATCATAAACATATATATTATATTAACTGCCGTGAAAGCAAATGTCGCACTAATAATGTAATTTTTTTTTGTCTGTAATGCTGATTTTTAATCTAAGGTACCTAATTGTAATTGATTATAAAGACCATTAACAAGGTGTAAAATGGACACCAATATTACCCATTACTATAAATTTAGTAACATTTAAAGTATTACTTTTCTAGTATTAGAAACTACATTAAATAACATTCTTGCCCATCAAGCAATGCAATATGGTGTTTTGTGTTCACGTAAAATATTGTAATAGCTGATACTATATTGTACTATCTGTAATGAAACATATAGTTTACAGTCCTATTTTACCAGTTGTAATGGTAACGTTCGTTTATTTCCCAGGTTATCTTTCGATTTAATATTGCTGTCCTTTTTTGTGGTGTAAATTAGAAAATCCAAAGCTAAAAGTAAGAGTCATCTATTGTCAATTTGCTTTGTGTATTGTACCTCAGTCTGCTTTTGCAATAAACTTTTGTGTGCTGTAAGGTTTTCCACGTATTTTCTTCCTTGAGTCTTTTTTCCTGGCAAATAAAGGTGCTTGTCATTTCTTCATTTTCTCGATTCTTTATATGGTGCATTTTCCTACTCTTTGAATTCTGTATAAATGATTAGTTGGTTTACTCTATTTTTATCACTTATAATATCTTATTATGCATTTATTATGGGTGAGTACCCCATATAATTCATACTTGTATTGTTAATAACAGAGGAAACAAACACACTGCGTTTTGCAACATTGATGTATATCCGATTTTCAATGAAAACTTATGCAAGAAACCTAGGTAAAGTTCCTTCAAATACACGCCAAATTGAAGGAATGCTACATATTGTGCTATATATTAGATTCATAACCATGCATGTACTTCACCATGTCCATTAACAAATGTCCATGTCATTCTCTACCCAGTCAGAGCATTTTATATGCTGCTTTGAATCTTAACTAACCTCTCAACAATGCCCATATCCATTGAAAATAATAATAAAAAATTCTTAATTTCCTATATTATTTAAAATTGCTGTTTTCATCTTTCGTCAGGGCAGGATATATGTGGTTTAATTGGTATCAGTTCCAATTTTTATATCGGAAACATGACACTTAAATATAGGCTTGGAAGCATACATAAGTTCTTTAACGGTTGGAGTATGTGTTTAAATTAAATAGTTTTCTTCGGTCTGTATCTCCATGATGAAATGAAATTACCCTTTGGACAACTTGCACTGATTTACCTGAATTTGTTATCGAGTATTTTCTTGGAGTAGCCAGTTTGAATATGTAATAAACTGTACTCGTTGTGTACTTCAATACGTGACTGACAATAATACTTTTATTCCATATCCAGTAATAAAGTTTGGGTGCAAAACATAAAAATTTAATTTTGTCCTTGATTTTGTAATGCTCCATTGTCTCCCCTCTTTTGTTCAGTATTTTACATTATTGAAAGGTTCAAAATATTATCTAACTTGTTTAAATCAGTCAAAAACCTTCTGCTGCGAAGATTACCTGGTGATTGCATAACCTAAGATACATCTTTAATATTATTTAAGTCGCATTATGAATATGTCCATTAAGAAGCATATATATATCAGGTACACTCCAATGTCGTTTGCTCAATTGATATACAGTGTATTTTAATTGATCTACTCATATTGTTTAAGGTAGTATGCTATCGAAAACAAAATAATAACAAATAAGTATGAATTTTAAACTATGTTTTCAAATACATGTAATTGCCGTTGTGCGTCTCACATAAAAAAGTTGACAAAGAAACAAGGAAATTCAAAATTGGTTACTACTTTAAGACCGATAACACTGGAGTGAATGCGCTAATTGATTCAGTAAGGATAATTATGCTAATTTAAAGATAGGCATTGTACATGCATTGAGGTCACACAGAGAGAGAGAGAGAGAGACAGAGAGAGAGAGAGAGAGAGAGAGAGACAGAGAGAGATGGATATTATCAGAAGTAAGTCAAAATAGGGCTTAGTCACTAGGGAAAGCTGTATGTCAGTCACAGTACATTTAGTGCTGTAATAATACTATAGTAGTATAACTCAAAATAGATACTGATTAGGCAGAATATTGTCTACTAAGAACAGGTGTCGATCAGTCAAAGAAAGCATGGACAAATCCGTATTAGTGAGTCATAAAAATCTGCATTTTGAGAGAGGTCAAAACAGATAGGAGGTCAGAGGCATTATTATTAAATACTGGTCAGGTTCAATATATATATATATATATATATATATATATATATATATATATATATATATATATATATATATATATATATATATAGATGCAATAAACTGACGACGAACAGTACGAAACTAGTAACTAACTAGCCTAAGCGCTTTCGACTCCCAATGAGTCTTTTTCAAAGGCAAATACAAAACATAGTTACGACAAACAAATAAACACAAAAACGTTGCGTTTGTAAACCTCTACATTTCTATCTTCACATGTGCTAAAACTATAAATACAACCAGCTTGTATAGACTAGTTGCGGAAACTGAAAACGTTGTATAATTCCCTAAAAGTCTACAAGCCAAAGCGACATCTATTTTTACTTTGTGTACATATGTAACGCAGATTATATCCCGGATATTTGGTTCTATACCGGTTATTCTTATAGTAAAAATTGAAGGATAAGAAGATTTAGAAAATGTTAAATTCTACTAGTGCATAGTTTTCATTTTCTAGTCTTCTTGGTTTAGACCGCTTGGTTTCAATGTTCTAAGGCGGCGTATCCAGTATGATTCCTTTTCCTTCCTGGTTTCGGAACTCCAGCTGTGGTTGTTGGCAATAGCGATGAGTATTATATCACTGAAAGTGTGGCCAGGGGAGGAGAAGTGTTCTGCGACCGGGCTTCTGTACAGCTTTTTTGTCATATATATATATTGGACAGAGTCGTCGTGGTGGAAATTTACACAAGGTATCAATCAGTCAGAATAGGTAATGGTCAGATTCAATTTTATTGGTTCCGCATACAACAGACAGGAATATCAAAATATGTGCCGAATATTTTCGATGGATATTTGTGACTCAAAGTCTCAAAGTATATACTAGTTAGCCAGAATAGGTGTTTTGCAGTCCAAATATTTATTAAATATTTATTTCTTAGTTGAAATAGACATTGATCAGCCGTCCGTACTAGTTGCTGATCGGCAAACACAGATCCCATCAATCAGAATATGTTATGTAGGCAGATTAATCCATAAAATGATAAAATAATAAAATTATGGTAATTTGGGAGGTACAAGGCTTGGGGTTGCCCACATGATAGCTTTCAAAGAATCCATTGGCCACTTCTTTTATAACCAGTACCTTTTACAGAAAGAATTGACAATATATAGTTTTTTATAAACGGTTCAGACTAAGGAGTTTAAGTAACATCGTCTTGTATTGTGTCTACATCACGCTTCAGATTCGATTGTATTACAAGACAGTACAAGTAGGAATGTATGAGAGGTAACAGTGTAAGTTCAGACGGGAGGAACGTGGATGGAAGCAAGACAGACAATTCAATTTTATCCGACACACATTTACTTCTTAGGCACAGTTTTAACCAAAAGTTCTGGGTCTTTGAAGTGTCAAAAGACATGCAAGAAAAACAACAAGCATTAAATATAAGCCTGGAACGATCCACAAATAAGAGCGTTTGGCAAAATAGTAAAACCTGCAAGTTAGACCGGTCGACATTACGCTAGAAGCTGCGTGAATAGCAGATTTGTCATGGAGCTATATCTGGTGATTAACTAGCAAATATATAATATTTTCTGTTATCCAATTTAGTTTTGCGATATGGTATGTATAGTTGGCGTCAGGACCAATTGTTTGCTGACATTGATGACTGTTTCAATATTGACAGGACATTCTGAGAGAAAAGGAAAATACAGTGAGAATCCGACGGAGCTCCATTCGCTGTGCGAGAAATTGGGAACCAAAGACGCAAACGACTAAAGCAAAATGCATCTTGACCATAGCTGAAGATTGCAAAGTGTAAGCTAATAGCAGATATTCCAAAGAACCCAGTATCCGACATAATATTGTACTGTGATTTAGAGAAACTATACAGGTGTCTTTGTTAAAAGGGACAGTAGCATAGGAAGCAACAGTGGAGGAGGCTTGTGAGGGTAGACTGGCCAATCATCAACCACTAGAAGCTCGATTTGGAATATCTCTCTTTTTCTAAGATGGAGTCAAAAAGACAACCGACGAAATTTTTAGTATTATTATTTGTTCATTTATTTGTCATAAATATTTAGTATCATTTGAGTGCAATGCTGTGGTGGCCTAGTGATTAGAGCGTCCGTCTCGGATGCGGGATATCGTTGGTTCTATCCCAAGTCTTACAACAATGACACTAACAGCTTCCTCGTTTGGCGCTCAGCATTAAGAGGTTAGTGCTAGGACTGGTGGCCTGGTGTCAGGATAAAGTGACTAAGTGGGACTGGATGGGATATCATGCTACATGTTTGTGGCATGATGCCCTTTTGCAAGACATCACTATAATCTGTCACACTGCATATATCGTAGCGACATGACTGAAAAAGTGTTAAAGCTACGTTAAAAATCTTAATCACATCATTTGAGTGTTCTTATTCAACAAGCTAGAACTAGATCATGTTTCCCTATACAGTGTTATTTATAGAAAAGGTGATTCCAGATAAAGAACATAACAAGTACATTATAATCGCACAAAAGCATTGGAACTGCAAGAGTTTGGTCTTTTGGTTTAATGTGTGTACCTTTTCAGTGGAATCTCAATATTCATGTCAAAGAATGATGATTTTATTGATATGTTGAACGATGTTTAGCAGATTCAGTACGGTGTAGACATGTTAGTAATCAATCTTGATTTTATAATCTTATTAATATGTTTTAAACAAGCAAAGTTAAATAAAGCTGATACATAAATATTATTTTTTTGAAGCAGTGAAAGTAGTTTGGCTTAAAAACCCATCATCCTACCTACACACATTAAAGTAAACGAGTAGTTTTTTATCTTATTTTTATACCTAATTTTTTTACAACCCTATTCTGTTTCTACAGGCAAATATGTAAACTATGGATAGAGATAGCATAGACAGAGGAATAGAGCAATACATAAATGTAGATATTTATTTGCAGGAAAATCTCTTTCTGTAATTTTTAAATATTGTAAACAGTCAATCAAATTATCGGGGCTAATGGATGAAAAGAATGTGCACATGGCAAAGACTCCTTTCTAACACATGGAAATTAAAATTAGACCACAACCCAGAAATACGAAGAACATGACTTCATTTGCGATTCATTATTCGCAACTATAACTGATACATGGTACTGAATTTCTGGCGTCTGTCTAAATATAAACTGGAAATTATGATTGACATAGGTATTCAAAATAGGGCACGTAACTTCAAAATCAATCATTGCATTAACTTATTGTAGTGCGTGATCTTTAGAACTTGAAATTAAACTGGAAAGTTCACTTACTAAAACGTCATTTACAGTTTGTCATGAAATCTGTGATATAATCCAATATATGTTGTTCTGGTACTTGTATGGTATTATTTGCAAATGCAGGGAAACTATGGCATAAATGGCTTAATCTATATGTGTCATTTGAGCATTTACAGAAACGCGGGATGATGCCACTGAAGGATCTGGAATAGAAATTGCACGTGTACCTTGTTAGAATGTTACTATATGTCATTGTGTTGAAACTATTTTAGGTGTTCCTTGCAATATTACCATAAATCATGGCATTGAAAATAATGGCACCAAAATGTGGTTGCTGTATCATACAGAAATGTTACCTCTTCCAAAGACATCTAGTGGCATATCATGTTTGACACTAATAATATTTTATTTTTCAATGCACACTTATGGACAAAATGGCGCATTAAGCAACTAATATTCAGAAGCAGTAGTGTCAACGGAATTCTAATCTTTGTGGTTAACTTTCAAAACTCGTTTATGCATTTCTTCGGATAACCAGGTAATACTATGATCATTAAATTACCAAGTAATACTACATACATTTACAATATAATATTTTCTCCCCTGTTATTTGCTTGAAAGACCCGTGTTCCAGGCAGTATCAATTATTTCCTTAGTAGGCATTTTTGTCATAGTGTGTATAAATGATTTTACATTTCGCCAGTTTGCTTTTAAGCGTATGTTGATTTCTAAGTTTTAGTCTATTAGAACAGCTATAAATTTTTCTTTTTTGCTTATTACTACTTTGTAACATCATTGCAAATTTTGCATATGGTTAGCACCATTAAAAAAACATACTCATATAATTATTTCATTCACACTTGCCAATATGTCATAGTTCTACTTCATGCGTATTGTTACAAAAGACAACTTAACAAAGCTAATTTACTTCATTATGTTTTCATCAAAAGTTTATACCACAATTAATTGACAAGGACTGGGGAATCTCGAAAATTGAGAGATGTGTTAAATTTCAATAAATATTACATTGTAAAGTGGAAAAGACTTATAAGAACAACTTGGGCATATGGCTTTTTCTTCAGTGCATCTTGCACTAACTGATATATGATGAAGAATAGGTTTTATTTTATCTTACATGAAGTGAAGAAAAAGTAAAATGGAAAATACACATATTCTGAACATATCTACTAATAATTATAGCTTCAGTTATAAATGTATGTTGATCAGCACAGAATTATGTTCTCAATTGTTTTGTTTTAAAAGTCAGATTATAGCGGTTATGTTTAACACCCCTCCCAGTTTTGTTTTGGGTGGGTATTCGCCGTTTGGTTATCCTTGTTTAGAGGTAATCGCCGACGGTGTAATGTGACCGGAGCGTGTAAATATTGATACAAATTGAGAATTATCGGATGAAATAGAAAAGGAACTCAGCAGGTATATAGAACAAATAAATCGAGCCTCCGTTACAAATAAAGACAAAAATCAAAGTCTCTAACAATACAGTTGAAACAAATAAAAATAATAATAGTACAATCATATGAAAGATACAATTATTTCTTTTGACTTAGCTTCTTGCAAAAATTTACGAATACAAGAAATAATGAGACTAATAACATGTTACATTATGGAATTTAAATTTCAATTTAGATCACTTTGAATATATTGACGTCATTGCCTATTACAGTTTTCCTAACCTGAAAACTGGTTTCAGTCCTAATTCCACCGTGACTGTTTCTTTGTACTCCCCTACGCTGGTAAGTCCTGGTGTCCTTCACTTTGACTTTCTTTGACGTCTTTCAACTTTTTGTCCATTTAAAAATCATTTTAAATTTGCAGACAGTTTAAAACTTAAGAGAATGCTCTCTTGTAACTCTAAATGTCAACATCTATTAGAACTATAATTAATTTGTATACTGATGATTTCTACTTGTTAGAACAGATATATATTTCAGCCAATAAAATAGGAATTCCTATTTTGGCGCTCTCACATAATTACTTAAATTAATTCATGTTAATACACCTGAATACTTCATGGAAACATATCGATAGTTTTACCCAACACAAAAAAGATGGCAAGACTTTTTTTAGCAAAATATATTTTAAAACGGCATAAGCAAATTAAACGACTGTATGAATGTAGATGTCTCTGTGTACGGTTTAATAGCTTCAAAAGTAGACTCTGCCTCAGAAATAACGTCCTTGAATTTGAAAGTATGCTAGCGGATATATCATCTTCTAAAAACCAATTAACTTTTGTTGAGATTGAAGTTTACAGTAATAGTTTGTGAATAGTTCGGCACGCCCTATCATTAACAATAAAAAGCCTGTGAAAGACTGAGTATATATTTAATTGAATATGACGATAAGAATTTACTTCTATAAGAAAATGACATGTTCTGTTCCGTAACATGGAAGAAAAATATTGGCTCTAAATGTATATAGTTACATATAAAATAGCAGAGTGCACAAATCTTAAATGGATGCAAGTGAACATTTTACATAGTCAAAAGTTTCTCAAATGATCTCTCTTGTCTTTGTAATTCAGTGTCTGAGCTGTTCTGGGGTTGTCACCTATCAAAGACATTCCTACATTACATGTTACAGTGGATCACGGTTAAGCAAGTGTGCCGTAATAACATAGATTACTGGAGGTGGAAACGTAACATTTAATTTCAAAAGAGAACGCAGTCTGATAATTTAATAAATATAATTATGCTTTTAGTAAAGTGACTAATTTATAAATGCATATATTATAAAGACGGACATAAGTTACGATATTTACAATGGCTATTTAAATTTCACTTAAATGTCGAAGCCAACAATGCAAGTAGAAACAATGAATGGGAAACGTTTGATGGTTGATGGATACCTAACAAACAGTTGATTAAAAACTTTAATGTTCGCGACATGTTTCATCGTCATTAGACAAATTCTTTAATTCCTTAACTTGTTTGCTTGTCATTTATGTTGGTTTAACTTTTTCATTGACGAGGTTCTGAAAAAGCTATAATCGTAATCATCGTGAATAATAAGAATACTGAATAAATTAATTTATCTGCAAATGCCGACACTAAGATTTGCTCTGTAGAAAGGTTATGTTTTATAGTTATTTCATACCGATTTCATCTTTTATGGCTGATCTTGCGTTCGATACAAATGTTCAGTCTGTGTTTCCTTATCACACGCCATAATTATCGTATCGTACATCCTACTAAGAACCATTATTTCAACTTTAACTATTCAGTAAGTCTACTTATTGTTTTTTTTATTTTAAATTTTAAAAATAATATGAAATGTTTGTAATTTAAAGAAATTCTGTTGAATTGGGCAAATGGTTGATTTTGCTGCTAGAGATGATGAGGATGTGTCGTCAGTTATTACAAGAAGTTTATGTGCTTTTCACATAATCTATCGCTGTTAAAGTAAGGTTAGTTGAGGTTGATAACAGTATTTTAAAACGAATGCATAATAATGAGTTCTCAGATAAAACTTTTACGTAAGGTGACGCCAAAATATGAGAGAGAGAGAATAAAAGCTTCTGTTGTTATCATTCCCAGTTACATCAATCATGAATTAGAAAAGAGACATTCCACAATGTAAATCGTCTAAACTTCAACCCAAACAAATCTACTTCATCTTCACGTTTGTAAATAATGGTCAGCGAAATAACGTTTAAGCATTTTTAGGAGCAATTTTAAGTTGAGGAATGTTAAAAATATATATTAATATTACCGAGAAAAGAAATTTATTTGGTAAATAAGATAATCAAACAGAGAGTTATTTGCAGCGTAGAGGTAGTGTGTATGACAGAGAACAACAACTCTTATAACAGCGATTCAAATGTAGAAGAATGACATCAATGTTTATGAGACTTTTTGATTATTGAGGCATACTCTCGGAAGTGCATGTCTG